ACTTTTTTAGAGATGCAAAAGATGCACTTTGTTTAGACAAATTATTTTATGTGAATTTTTCTTCTGTCTCTAAGTATTGTGGTATCTGAAGGACTTGGTTTATTTTTTTTATGATCATATTAATGTTCATAATGCATTTTCCTTCATAATATTTGTGTTGCAGCTGGTTGGTTGTCGAGTCATTCCCTGCGAAAGCAAATTTGAATTATACTGCACAAGCTCTAGGCATATCAACAGGTAAACATATTTTAAATTTATTTGAATGCTCCATTAATTTCACAGAAGTAATGGTAGCTTTGATGTGCCTTGCCTGATCAGAATTGGAGTATCTTTATTTTCTTAACACGAAATTGGAGTATTCTATTTTAATTCAGCGGTTTGGTTTGCAATTAACAAACACTTTCAATGTTTCTTTAAATAATTGAATGCTTGTTTTCACTTGTATTTTCAATGCCGTGATGATGTGCATTTGTTTGTTCATAGTTTCTTATGTTCCTGATATGTTTCAGGTTTATTTCCCCCATCATAATCGCCTAAATTGATTTTAATCTATAAAAGTTTGAAAATACCTTTAGCAATTACTCTGAATTTAGATTCCCATTGGATCTTGAAAAAAAATGTTATTTCTTTGCTCCTTCATATTATAGGATTTTTTCCTATAATTGTAATAATTTATGAAGTGAATCTCCTATGAACTGGTAATCCCTTATAGTCAGCACTCAGCATCAGCATAACCTTCAAGTTGTTTGGTATCGTAGCTTTTTTAGAGAATCCATTTTTCGAGATTTAGGTTTTGTTTGTTTGAGAGTTTTTTTGCCTTTTTCGTTTGGAAATGGAGGAATTTTTTTTTTTTGTTGTTTGTTTGTGACACTTTTGCAGAAATACTTTTTGGGGAAACTGTATTTTTGTACTATTTTAAAATCTTTAGGGTATTTACTTCTCTGTTTTGAAAACTCCATTTTCTCAAAACAATTGTTTTAAAACTGACTTTAGAAAAGGTGTAGGATAACCAAACGAAACCTTAATGTAAATACGTTGAGAACCTTACAAGCAACTTGAAAGTGAGATTCTTTTAGTTTTTTGAAGGAATTGAATTTATGAGAATTACTGCAAAAGCAATATCAAGCTAGGTGCATTATATGTAGAGTAGTTTCTCAACTAACTTCTGATATTGTTTATTTTCTATTCATGTTGCTTCTTTACATATATATAATCTCTGGCCTGGTTTAGGCTTCGTTTGGAACAGCTATTTTATTGCTTTCTTAAAGTAGCATTCTAGTACAAAAATTTTAATTTTTGTACTAGAAAGCCGCTTTAAGAAAACAGGAAGAAAGCCGTCCCAAACAAAGCCGTAATTAAATTTTGTATGGCTAATATCAATTATTTTTATTTCTCTTGCACTACAGGATTTGAGAATGGAGACAACCTACCTTTTTGATTGACCTTCTTTGTTTCTAGTTTAGCCTTAAGACTTTTCATGGATGTTCCAATATATATATTTTTTAGTTGTTGCACTATGGATATCTTTTGTAAGAATTTTTTTTTTTGCAAATTCTCAACATATAATATCATCACAAGTGTAAAAAAAAAAGTTGAATCTTTCATCTCTCTTGTCAAGTTGACATGGCAAGCCTATTTTGCATATATTTTGAACTGAAACCAAATCTTTCATTTTTCAGCTGCAATTTCTGCTTTCTTCATCACTGCTGATAAAACCATCCTGAAACATGCAAGGGGAAACAAATGGAAAGTATGACAAGAGCTCTTGACATGAAGCAGCACCAACTCAAAGATCAAACTCTTGGAGCTTGAATTTTGATGTTTAATGGTTTCATCCCTTGAGAGTGTATTTCCATTTTCTCTTTGTTCTGAAATAGCAATAGCAGGAAGGCTTTGTAATGTTGGCATTTGACTAATGCTTGGAATGAAGAAGAAATGTATTATTTTTCTCTTGACCATTTCGTAATCTAAAATAAAAATTAAAGCTCTCTGTTGAATCTGTGAGCTTGCTGGTGTCTTATAATGGCTGGGGTGGTAGTTTGTGAAAGAATAAAACTTCTATCTATGAATGGTGTAAATTATGCTATTGTTATGCATGGCATAGAGTCAAATGATATTAAAAATGTTGAATAAAGAATAGAACAATTTGATGATTGAGGGATAGTTGCCAAAAAGAACAGACTTTACAGGAAGTGGATTAAGGCTTCGTTTGGGACAGCTTTTTTTCTGCTTCTTAAAGTAGCTTTCTAGTACAAAAATTAAATTTTTTGTACTTGGAAACTGTTTTAAGAAGCAATAAAAAAGCCATCCCAAATGAAGCCTAAGCATTGCAAGAGAAATGATGAAGGAATGCATATGGATCAGAAATCACATTATGCTCCAAATATTTAGAGCAGATCGAATCATATCAAAGAAACCTTTGATGTATTCTTCTAATCCAGTGCTGGCAAGGAATAGAAGCAGTAATCTTCTTTGCAGTGAGAATTATGCCCGCAATTTCTCGAAAAAGATGTAGAATGATTGATTTACAAAAATGAAAAAAAAAAGAGAGAGAAAAGGAATGGCAATGAAGTCAGCTTGTATTTTTTTTTTTTTTTTTTTTTGTATAATGAGTTTTGGATGAAATTCTTCAAATGAGTTTGACCGTTTAAAAGCTCAAAGCTTGAAACTCTCAAAAAATATTGCTTGAAATTGGCTTCAGCAAATCAACTCGAACGTTGATTTTGAGTTGATTTGGAGCACCGCTCCACACTAGAAATAGATTTGACATGATTTCGAGCACCAATCCATACTAGAAATTGATTTCGAGCATTGCTCGGTACTAGAAATGGATTTCGAGCTTATTCAACTCGCTCAAATATACGTAGCTTAACTCAAAATATAACTCTGAATGAGTAGTTATAAGAGTTGACTTGGCTTTATTTGGGACAACTTTCTTAATGCTTCTTAAAGCAACTTTCTAATAAAAAATATTTAATTTTGAGTTAGGTCAAACTCATTTGAGCTCGACTAGATAACAATGTGAAATGAATTATTTTTCTTTTTGAATCTCAATGATATTGATGATAAGAGACATGCATAAATGGTTTATCTGATTTACATCAGCTAAAATCTAATCAAGCTATTTGTGTTCCTTTTGTTGGAGATTCCTCTGAGTGATAAAGACCAATATTAAGCACTGAGACAATGCAGTCCAAATTTATAGTGATGAGAACCAAAGAGTGCAAACTCAAAGTGATAGAAAATTTAGATATCTTCATATAGTGATGACATCTTTTAAAAAAAGACATGTTCCAATTCAATAGAAATTAATCTAAGGTTTCGTTTGAGACAACTTTCTTACTGTTTCTTAAAGTATCTTTTTAGTATGAAAATTAAAAAATTTATACTAGAAAGCTATTTTAAAAACAATTAAAAAGCCGTCCCAAACAAAGCCCAAGTACTATTCAGCTTATAAATTTCTATCCATTACGAAAAATTGATCATTATGATTTATATATAAGAATCGAGATCAGTTAAAAGAGTTACTAATCATTCGATTCATTTTCAAAATTTTCTCTTTTTATTTTGAAACTCTGGATATTGTTTGAAACAAATTTTCTCAAGAAAGTGTGATCTGTTAGAAGACAATAATGATAATGTATGATGTTAAAAGTACCTAGAGAGGGATTCATGCAAGAGAAAAAGAGAGAGAAAGAGAAAGAACAAGAGCTCAAGTTTAGGTTGTCAAAGATGAAGAGATCACCAAGTTGTTTCATTGTACTAATTATATATGAAATTGAGATGATTTTAAAGGTTTCTACACTGTTATAAGAATCCATTTGTCAAATCTTCACTTCTTCTGTGATCTAATGATAGCAATCGAGCGGTAATCCAACAGAGGTGGCATGGCAATGGTCTACGATGGCCTGTTTGGATGCATGTAGGATTTAATTTAAGTAGGATTTCATAAATCCTATAAATTCAGATTTATTAAATCTTGAGAGGGTTAAATCCAAAAAACGGTTTGTTAAAAAATATGTTAAATCTTGACAACTCTTATGTGAGACTATTTGGCAATGCTAGCTTTTCATGATTTAAGGCGATTAACTCATATGACATTTGTATTTTAAATAAGAGTTACTTATTAATTCTAATTTTAATCAACACCATTAAATTATAATTATGAATATTATAACTAAGGTGTTATTTTAATAAGCAATTTAAAAATAATTTATTTAGCTATTATTTTTAATTAGTATTTTAGTTTTAATCTGAATTGATCACTGTCCATGTATTTTCATGCTAAATGGATCCGAGCCATGCCGCTTGTCTCTCTCGCACATGAGTCTGTCAAACTATCATCCCAACCATAAATCTCTTTCCAATCATGAAAATCATGTGATTCATCCCGCTTCATTTTATTTCTCCCGCATATAGCTTCCCTCTCATGCCATTAAACCTAGTAGGGAACTTATGAATCATCTTCTTTCTATTCTCTCCCAACTGTCAGACTCTCATTTCTCCTCCTTCGTTTCTTTATGGCTCTAATTAGGAGTTGATTATGTGATTAGATTTGGGTAGGGGCTTACGACTTTCATTTGAATGTAGCCCTAATAATGGGTCTTACGTTCTCTGTTAGAGGTGGTCCGAGTACCAGGTCTTACAACTTAGCATTGTAGATTAAGATGCTCAAGGTTTTATGGATTCCTTAGAAGTTGCTTAATAACGAGTCATACGACCTAGCCTTGTAAGCTAAGTAGCCCGTGAAATGGGTCTTACAACCTAGCCCTATAAACTGGGATGACCGTGTGAGGGGTCTAAGGTTATGTTATTACCTAAACATTTTCCACATAGGTCGGACTTACGGTTTTTATTAGAAGTTGCCTATTTGTGGGTCTTACAACTTAGTTCTTATAAATAACATTTCTCAAGTGGTTTAAGTTTTTTATATAGGTAGTTCATTTAGAAGTTTCCTAATATTCGAGTCTAATTGCTTTGCTTAGAAGTAGCCTTAGATGAGTTTATAGTTGTTTGTTAGTTTGACCAATACTATGATTTTGACACCTACTTGACAGCAATTTATTTTCTACTCTAGCTTTCAGTATTGTGCTTGTTGTTTGTTTTTGTGCTCATATCTTTTACTACTACAATAGTTTGTTGCTCTACTATATCATTTTTGCTTTACCAATTTTTTCAATATTTTTTTCTACCTGTAGTAGCTAATTTTATTCTTTTTTTAGTATTAATTTTATTTATGATGTGCTGACTTTTATCTTCTTGTTTGCAGATACGTGGTACTTGCAACAGCTCAAGAAACGCTCAAGTAGATGCAGTTTAAGCAACCACTGAGAGTCTGAGAGAGTTTGAGCTTGTTTGTTTGAGATAGTTGTTTGAAAGTTTATGTTTTGTTCAGAGATGTGTTGTGAGCGTTGTTTGTTGAGTTGTTTGAAGATAAATTTGTTCTTACTCAGAGAGTTGTTCTGTTTGAGCTGCTTAGTTGAAGAGCTGTTTGTAGTTCGAGTATTGTTGTTACTTGTTGGAGAGCCTTATTAATTTGTACTTAGATTGGATTATTAGAAACATTTCATTCCTCCATCTTTTTAACAAATTGAGTGAATTATTTAAAGTTTATTTTATTGTAATTATTAAATTATTATCATTTAAATAATTAAATCAATTTAATTAGTCATTTAATCAATTAATTTGTCATAATAAATTGCGAGTTTTTTTTTTTTTCAAAATTTCCAAAATCTACACTAGTCAAGTTTTCTTGAAAATTTCGGTAGCCTCCCGGAATCCCCTCCCTATGAGGGAGGTAAGGGAGGGCACTTGCCCTTTTAATTCAGCCAACTGAAAAGATAATCAACTGCCGAGGGCGTCGGGATATTGTCGACCAGGTCTTGAAATATGTCTTCGAGTCTCCCATTGATGATTGTGAGCTTCTAATTGCGATATGCTTTTTTTTAACATGCATATATAGTTTACTTATTATTATTACTATAATAATTTGATAATCCTCTTTCCCCTACATTTGTTTTTCTATTCAAACAGCTCAAAGGCAGACGAATCTGGCAAGGATTTTTTTTTATTGCACTTATTATAAGGTATTATTTATACGAATCTTGCACCATTTTGACATTCTTTACATAACAGCTATTTTTTTTTTTTGGATAAACCCGGGGCATGAAGCCCATATATTAAATAACAACATTCAAATTACAAAAACCTGTGGGAAGGAAAAGAACAAAATAACAAAACTAACAAAATTTACACAAAGATAAACACCAAAGTCATGAAAAGGGGAAATAGACAATCCGTAGACTCAGAATTAAGACCAGCTCCCATTCAACTAGTAAAAACCGATGAAGTCACATAATGCCCAGGCTGAAGCAGCAGTTGCCCATTATAACCGAGAGAGTCCCAAGCATAAAGAATTAGAAACTGGTCATCACAACTCCTCCAGCCAGCATAAAGAAAAATCCCACGAATGAGCCTGGTTGCCCCAAAGGCCATCCAAGGCTCAAAGAGACTGGCCTTTGTCATCATCGTCTGAATGCCCATAATCCCCCACCAATGCCATATGCTGTCTTTGTTGTATACCCGAGAAATGATAGGATGATAATCCGCAAACCTACTGGATTTTGCCATAAGAGAAAAATGGTCAAAATCCCAAAAAACATCTTCCCAGGTCTGAATTGTAAAGAAGAACCAAAATTGGGCCAAAAAATACTGTCCCAGAGATAGAGAACACATCCAGCCAAAAAATAACGACCTGCTGCCTTGATGCTACAAGTAAACAACCAGCATGACAGAAAAACAAAGGGAACTATATGCCCGGAAACCTCTGCAATAAAATATTTTTGTTTTTACATTTTGATACTTTGAATCTGATAGCCTCCCTAATATTGCAAATGATTTTAAGCACATTGTTTCTCACAGAAGAGAAACGGCTGTTGTTCCTTTCTCTCTAAATATGATAAATAGTACGGCTAATAATCAAGAAACAAAGATCCTTTTCTGTATTGCTGTAATACACAGAATTCTCATAATAATCAAATAACTGCAGTAAAGTGGGTCTAAGGAAAAAGCCATTAAGATTCGATAAAACAATCTTTAGTATGTAAAAGGATAGATCACAGGCAAAAAATAAATGGGAATGAGTCTCCCTAGTACCCTACAACTTGAAGGTTATGCTGATGCTGACTATATGAGATTACCACTTGATAGAAGATTCACTTCATAATATTATGCACTTAAAAGGAAGAAATCCTATAATATGAAGGAGCAAGAAGAAATAACATTTTTTTCAAGATCCAATGGGAATCCAAATTCAGAGTAATTGCTGAAGGTATTTACAAACTTTTATAACTTAAAATCATTTTTAAATATTTAAAAATTATATGGGAATGAAAATCTATTGTGATAATGAACCTGTCATTAGTATTGCTCACAATCCTATCTATAATGATCATATCAAAAATATGGAAGTAGATAGATATTTCATAAAAGAAAAGCTAGAAAAGGGTTAATTTGTGCTTCATACATTTCGACATAGTTTTGTCGAACCATTTACCCAAGGGCTTTGCAAGCTTACATTTACTAATATTATAAATAAATTAAGAATGATATATCTACACCATCTAATTTGTAGGGGAGAGTTGATGGAACAAGAGGCCACAAACCCCTTGCTTGCAAGAAAACATCTCTCCACGGATTTGTATACAAGAAAAGAAAGTAGGCATTGGAATGTTCTCATGAGCATCAATTGCCGAGTCCAATTGGATCCAGCAACAAGTATGAAGGGGTAGGGGATGAACAATAGCATGAGGATTATTTATCTTTTTGAGCTGTAGTGATTAATTATTTCCTTTTATTCTCTTAACAGTTTTATGTATAAATACCCATAGAAAGAACAAACAAATCAAGTTTTCTTTGCCTCTTCTTCTTTTCTACATTAAGCTTAAAAATATTTGAGTTCTCAAACTAAATTACGGCATCAATATGCTAAATGGATTGAGCTTTTACAGAAATATTATTTTGTCCTTAAACAATGTGTTGGAGCTTAAGAATAAAACTGTGATATTTTGAGCAAAAATTTTGGTGCCCTTCTATATACCATGTATTTTAATAATAAAAGAGAGTATGCCACTTGTAAGGATGAAATAATAACTATTCTTTGCTTAATAAAGTTGTTTAATTCTATTACTTCATGCTAGATTAATTTTGTATACTGGCTTATATGGATGAATAGGAATGTTCTTTCTTCGTTGGAGTATAGCCTATTATGTTGCTCTATTTTTGTCTATATATACATATAGACATTGCTTGTAATAGAGAGATTTTGAGATTAATAAAATGAAGGCTTTCGCCATGTTATTTTTGATTCATGCATCCTGAATTGTATTATTCAGGTGGTGGATTCTTCTTCTAAGGAGTTCTTGGATATGTGCCCGAACACGGCCACCAGATCATCGATGTGGATTCATCGAGCCCCCTCCGGTCCAGGACTAGTGCATTCACAAAATATATGATTTGCATGAAAATAAGCACAAAGAAATGGCTCCTAACTATGTCAATTACAGGCTTCGTTATAATGTGAATAGGAGGTATGTAAAGTTTAAACATGATTATAAAAGTATAATGCATGGTGACTTTACTACTAGAAAAGTAAGAGCACCTCAACCCAGGAGTAAGCTGTGACTAATCAACACAAAAGAGAATGCCAAAATTGACATGATTTGACTTAAATAAGCCCACGCTCAGTTGTCTAAGGATTGCATAATCCACTGAGCTTTAAAACTAATACATGAAAATTACAATTCATACGAAGTTGGAGATACAAACAAAGCTAACACTTTGTCTTGTTGAGAGAAAATAAAGTCACGAGCTATGAATGAGGGCTGGATGCAAGAAAATAGATATTATTATTCCTCTAGTTATTCTCTTCCTATCTCTATTACAAGAGCCCAAATGAAAATTATTCTATGGTATGACCAAAAGCTTCTCTTCCTAGAACCAGAAATAGAAATAATTCTTTCTTCTTGAAGAAGAAGAAGAATTCCCCCTTACAAGCACCTGACATAATCTTTTTCCTTTATTTTTTTATGACTCCTTCCTCCTCTCTCCTCTCTCCTCTCTCTTCCTATCCTACTCACTTCTTACTGTTTTTTTATTGTGACATGCATAAAATTCTTGATACCTTCCTCATTTTATAATTGCATTATGAGCTGGTAGGTGTGAAGGATTTAGCATTAATAGAACTTGAGTGAGGTGGCCACAATCTTAAAAGATAAAAAATGAATGAATCTTAAGTTGGTAACCACCACTACTGGAAAATCAAATACGAATGGATCCGCGGGTATAATAGCCACCAATTTTGAAAATTAAATCAAACTTATTCAAGATAATTCAGGGAAATAAGATGACATGCTTAACAATTACTTCCCTCCTATTTAACTCCATAAATTTCTACGAAAATGTTTCTTTGAATAGTTTAGTTAATCTAATAAAATTTTCTTAATAAATACAACGTGATTTGCTTAAATGATGTTAACAACATTTATGAAAGTTAAAAGATATGAAAATATATGTTTAGAATATTGTTAACTGCAATGGAAATGGTTATGAAGGGCTCGATCTCTAGGTTGCTTTTGTTTTGGTTTGAGTTGTTTGTGACATCATTACAGGAAATAGGTCTGAAGATATTGTTGGACGACTTGTATAGAGTTAACAGTCTGAATTATGACAAAATAAGATATATTTTAGTATGAATTGATCTTACATCCCCTTGTTACTATTTTTATTCTCTGCTTAACGATTTGAATTCAATTTCATATTTAATAACATATTACTAATGCCAATATTTTAGCTGTCGTTGTTTGTCTTATTAAGCTATAATAAAATTTGAATGGAAATGGGTTCTTTTGCATTGTTTTTTAATATTTGTTCTAAAATATTGGCCCGTCAACAAGTAATGAACTTCACTGCCTCATGTGAAAAAAGCACTTTTTGGAAAACCCAGAACCTTGAAAATAAACTAATTGATAAGTATCACTACTGCTAAAAAAAATACAGAAGTGAGTTTGGGGACTATTTTCTCTTGATCTCTTGGATTGGGTTTCTCCATGTTTAATGATGTTTAGTGAAATTTCTATATATATCCCTTTCTTTATGAGCATTAATTTTTCTAAATCCTAGGGCTATCAATTTTGAAAGTTTTAAATTCACAATAAATTTATTTATTTACTCAATTTGATTTTATGTCATGATTATTCGACAAGTTTTATGCTGGCTATCAACTACCTAACACAACCCTCCACTTTTCTCATCCAGGATTCAAGAATTGGTTAGAAAATATTACAAATGACATTTCTTTATTAGATTTAGATGAGAATTTGACCCTTAACAGGACACAATGGAGAAAAAAGATTCATGTAGCTGACTCCACAGTGGGATAAAGGCTTCTTGTTGTTGTTGTACTCATTTAGCCACCATATGTTCTAAGGGAACGTTAACTTTTTACTAGTCCAACAAAAATGAGGTGATAGATTACAATATTGGCCATGGGAAGGTTCACATTTAAACTCTACTTGTTATATATACATAGGCGCAAATTGTCCATCATGCAAACAGTTGATTTGGGAAAATATTTTTTACATCAGCGGAAATATGAGCTGATTATGATATAGGAAAGAAACCTGAAATATGTCAGGCACTTAAGAAACTACAAGCAAAAAAAAGTGAACCCATGAAGAAACAAATGCACATCATCATGGCATTAAAATGCAAGTTGAAAACAAGCATTCAATTTTTTAAAAAACCATTGAAAGGATTTGTTAATTACAAACTCAACTGCATGAAGTTAAAATAGAATACTCCAATCACAGCTGACCATTACTTTTGTAGTTATTGGAGCATTCAAACAAATTAAAATATGTTACCTGCTGATATGATTAGTGCTTGTGCAGTATAATTTAAATTTGCTTTAGCCCAAGGAATGACTCGACAACCAACCAACTGCAATACAAAAATTATAAGGGAAAAGCCATTATGAAAAAGTGCATCTTTGCTTCTCTAAAAATGTGATATTTTTATATTGAAGAAACGCAGTGTAAGCATACCGTGGGAACTGCGACTACAGAGCCTGCAATAATGGCCATTTTTGCTCCTTTCTGAATTGCATCTGAAAAAAGAAGCTAGCGGCGCATATAAAATTTGTATGAATATCAAAAAAGAAGAATTAATGGAAGTAGACAGATATGTTGATACATAGAAATTCATACAAAATACTTGAGGGCTAATTTGGTTCCCTCTATATAGAAAAGAAAACTAAAAAAAAAAATTCGTTTTCATTCATTCTATATGTGAAAAATAAAATTATTAAATTTGAGAGAGTTTAGAGAAGGCATGTTGAGTTTCTAACAACATCTAACAAAATAATGGACTTTATTTTTTTGCATTTTTCAGAATATGTTTTCTTAACTTCAAGCAACCAAATAAGTCCAAAGTTTCAATACAGATAAGCAACATAAAGGAGAAATTAAAGATCTGTATAGTTATTACGTGAGAAAAATCATATAATAAATTAACTGAGTAAATGAAAGCTAAATACAAAAACAAAGAGGAACAATTAACTTTGTTTAGGAGGATAGAAAACATCAATTCCTTGAAAAAATTTGCATAGCTACCCATCTCCATCCACTTTTAAATTGAGATTTATGCTCTGATAAACGTAAATTTCTATCATTGATAAAGAAAGATGAAGATAAATCTCAAATCATATGTGGATGGAGTTGGTTAGCCTTAAGTGTTGTTTGTTCAATGTTGTTTAGATATCGGCGTTATAAAGATGTCATTGTTATTAGATGTTAGTGTTATTTTACAAATACTGTGGGTCTGATTTAATGTTATCTTTATTGTACGTTATAAAATTTTAGAAGATACCAGACATCTAAAAATGTCGCCCAATTTCAGCTGGCATATAAATGTCATTGACTGAGGATAGAGATTTTATTATGAGGAAGTTATTTAAAGGATTCAACAAAACGATTGTCATTTTCAAATTAACGTGACTTAATATTACAATAAGTGTGAAGAAAAAACCTTTATACTGAATATGCCTTGAAAATGGAACAACGAAAGAAACAATGGAAAATTGCAGGAATACTAGAAACAATGGTTGATTTTGTATTATTACTTCAATAAAAAAAATAAGATAAAGGTGATCTATGATTAGAGAGATAGATTAGTTATCCCAAACAACCTAGACGCCCCTAGGAAAGCCCTCAAAGAAAAGAACTATAGCAAATAAACAAATCACAAAATGCAAAAATAAAAATCTAGTTAGCCATAAATAGGCTCTCCTAATTCCCTCCTAAATCAGCCATCTTTACTAATATATTTTCCTCTCTTATTTGAATTCAATTGGAAATCTTACCCTAAATATAAGATTAGTCTACCATCCCCTGATATTATGTACTTCGACTACCATCGTCTCACTTCAATCCTCCAACAATTATCACTCGAATTCTGTCCTACTCCCACACTTCGCCCAACTTAGGTTCTTAAACACTGTCGTCTAAACTACAATTCTTCGGCCATCATCATTTCCAAGCGCTTGTGCCTGGCTAAGAGCCTTTCAACCATCATTCCTCAACTATGGTTTTTTGATCACCTTTGCTCAAATATGATTCTCTGACCATTATTTTTTTTACTACGGTTCGCTGACTTAGTAACTTACTATCGCCAAAAATACCAATGCACATCATCACCTATAATATTGACGAACATCGTCAGCACTAACTCTGACTCCTGACATCACCAATAAGATTTATGTTGGACTTCTTGGTTCGATCACCCCTCAAAGGAGAATGAGTAAACAAAACAAGTGATATTCTTGAAATATCTCCCATAGTCTCATGCCATAGGGCTCTTCAAACCTCCAACACGGTATTTATCCTATATTGTTTCTATCCAGTATATTATATCACCTTCCTCAATCACAAAGAAGGACACCATTTATAACAAATGACAAACATTAGTGGAATCAATTCACTCGGATCAAGCTCCGTGATTTTTTTCCAGGATTTTTCAGTTGAGAACTTTGGTGTCATTTGCAACTCCTTTTTTACTTGTATGTGTATTAGATCCTCGTACAAAATTAAGATGCTAAATTCTTTCACTCAACCATGCAAATGTTCTTGCACCAAATAAAACTTATAAAAAACACTGTTTTCAGTTCAGCTAGTAACAGAATAAATGAAGAAACTGTCAAATGGATTTTTATAACGGTGCAGAGACCTCTACAATCATCTAGATTTCATACAGAATTAATACTTAAGCATATTATCCCAAATCAAAATTAATAAATAAGAACACAATCAATTCTAACATCCAACAAGACGGCAACTTTCTAGAAAGCGATTCGTAAAAATTGAACCTTGCGTTGGGATGTCTTGCTAATCTATAACCCTGGGCTCCTTGGAGAAGCTGCCACACATGAAAGATGATCTCTTGCTTGCCCCAAAGCCCACCACATCAGAAGGGAATACCCATCTCCACCAATTCTCTCCGAGTTTGGGAAGAACAGCAACGAACAAATGCAGAAGAGGAAAAGTAAACCCTAGAAGGCAATGAAATTTGCTCGCTCGAAGCTTACCTAACGCGAACGAAGAGTGCCGCCTTACGCAGTAAAGTCCGACTACAAAAGCCGCCGAAACACCGCGCGTGCTCCACGTCTACTTATTATTTCGGGCTCGTTTGGTTGCTCTATTTTTTTGGGTAAATTTTTTTAAGAAGAAATTTAATTATAAATTAATTAAAAAAAAGAGATATATGTAATTTTTTATCTAAATGTATTAAAATAATAAAAAATATAATAAATTAGGAATGATATAGTAAAATATAATCATCATATAATTTATGTAATAGTTATTAAATATACAATTTGACAATTTAATAAAAATATTATATATTTTCATATTTAATTTAAAATTATATATATATAATATTAATAACTTATAATTAAAAATTTTTAATTAAAATTTAATAAATTTAACATATTTATTATTTAAAATTATATATTTAATAAATAAATATAAATGTATAAAAAATCTAATATAAAAAGTTATAATTTATAAAAAAAGTATTATTTATTTTTATATACAATTAAATTATTAAAATTTAATATTTAATTAACAATAACTTATTTAAAAATTTTTAATGATATAAATTTTTATTGTGTATCACAAGTTTTAATTAAATATTTAATCAATTATTATATTATTAAATATTTAGTTATAATAAATAAATATTTGATATACATTATATTTTAAATATGAAATATTTAGTATAATATTAGTGTTTAATATATAATAATATTTAATATATTATCTATTTGATATTATAAATTATTCTTAAATTAAAATTTTTAATTAAATAATATATTAAAATTTATAAATTTATTATTAAAAATTTAATTATAAAGTATTAAGTTTCCCTTATATTTAAATTAAGTATATTTTACCTATTTTTTAAAATTCCTACATACAAATTAACAAATGTAGACAATTTTTAAAAACTCTTGATATATCATCAAAAAATTATCTTGATCAGACACGAATCTCAAGGAAAAAAATCAAGTTGGAAACTTCAAAAATTAAAGCTGGGATCATCTAAACTCCAATTTCAGCAAATTTATAGTCGAACTGATCGTCTCAGAAATATGTACCCAACAACACCAAATTAAACTAAATTCGAGCCCAAATGGGTCCGAATCGATGACCTGAAGTGTTGTTGTAAGGTTCAAACCATAATTTGGATTGCCAAACCATTTCAAAACATGACATGCTAATAGTCGAATCGAGCGGCTCGACGAGACAAATCCAACGAGCCAAAGATCACCGAATTCCAATATTATTAAGACCTTAAAATGTCTGATGAACAGTCCATGATCAAGGGATTCAATATCAGTCGTCCATCCAAACCACTCCACATTTGCCCTTGATCCTCCTATTTACGAGTCCTGTCATCCTAAAAAAAATGTAAATAACCACTCTTTTCTCTTGAGAGGGGACCCAAGCGAGAAGAAGGAGAAGAAAAAAGAAGAAGAGGAGGGAAGAAACTCCTCCTCTATCACTCTCGGAGTTCCACTCGACGTTCAAGTGACGCTGGAGTTCCGTCCGACTTCCGAGTGATGTTGGAATTCTGCCCAAGTGACACTGAAATTTTGCCCGGCTTCCGAGTGAAGTTAGAATTCTGCCGAACTTTCAAGTGACACTGGAATTCTGCCAAAGTGACGTCAGAACTCTGCCCTACTTCCAAATAACGCCGAAGTTCCGCCTGACTTTCCAGTGACATCGGAACTTTGCCCAATCTCTAAGTAATGCCAGAATTTTATCTAATCTCCAAGTGACTCTAAATTCAGCTCGAATAAACAACTTGTGTGTATCTGAATTTCAATCCTGAAGTGAATCATTGTAATCTGATTGCCCTAAATTTTAAGGACGATTTAGCCTCTTATATCTCAAGCAAACACTAGTGGAATTCTTTCAACTGGGCATGACCCCATGAACTTTTTCCCTTTACAGGGTTTTCCACGTAAAAATTCAAGTGTTCTTTCATCTTCTGTTTGTGTGCTGGATATTTGTACAACGCCGAGACGAAAAATTTCTAACTATATCGCTGCGTATATTCTAGCCCGCAACAACTCTCATTTAAAATTTCATATTCGAATATTAAGAATCAAAATTTATTTTTATTTAAAATTATAAATAATGTACAATGATTTAGCATATATAATTTGCAAAATAACAAAATCTAAAATAAAAAAATTGATTTAAATCTTGGTTAACTTTCATCAAAGAAAATAAATTCTCCATGAATTTTGAATTATGAGATTTTCATCAATTTTGAAGGTGTTGAGAAGCAAACAACGCAAAAGAACAGAATTTTGTGTGATGCTAAGTAAAAGTAATAATAGATGAAAAATTACATATTAATAAACATGAATATAAAAATTTTAGCTTCCTTATTATTGTGGAAATTATCAAAATAGTTTTAAAACCCATGTGCATATTTATGAAAAAATTTGACATCATCAGAAACTAAGAAATTGATATTGATCATGCACTAATTCTTATAATTCCAAAACACTTAGCTTTTAATTAATCTTTTTTGTATCATGAATCATTTTATTTGATAATAAATTATAATTACGGGAAATAATTATCAAGCATTAATTAAGTAAATTAAACATATTGATAATTAATACTTAATGCTAGTATTAAATTAATTTGAAATAATATGAGAAAATAAAAAAATGAATAAAATAAGTGATATATTAGTTTTAATTATTGGTTGCATTATTAACAAAATTGAGTTATTTTTTGCTAATAAGCTAATAACATGAATTATTAAACAAAAGTTACTTTCAAGCCAAAAATACACAAATCTCTTAAATAAGAAAACTAAATTTAGCATTTCAAAATTTACATCGTCATATAACAAATTACCATCAAAATTAAATTGTACCAACTAATTTGCAATTTATATTTCTATAAAAAAATCTACATAACTAACATCTTACTATCTCGAGAGATGGACTAATGCTTCACT